GTGGCAGTGACAGAATTCGGCGTATCCCGCGACTGGTTAGAGGAAGAGACAACCGACAGTGAGGTGTAAGAGGAGTGGAGTGGAGGAGGAGTAACCAGCTAGTTGCAAGAAGCTCCTGCCAGGAGTTCGCTTCCCTTGTATTTGTTCGTGTAGAGGCCCAGCAGCGCGAGGCTGATGTTCTCTGCCAGCACCAGGCTGGAGAGTGATTGTGGGCGTTCACAAGGAGCACCTAGTGATACTGTAGATAGGCTGGCCCATGGCTAGGGTAGACTCATTGGTGTTTCCTATTACTGGTTGAGGACGGTGCTGTGTGTTGAGGAAACACGGAGTTTTTTTTTAATTTTTTTTATTTTTACATGCAAAGCATGCAAATTAAATACAATAAAAACAAATAAAAAATACATAACAAAGGAAAACAATAGGCCACCGGCCAGAAGGGCCGACAGCATAGCACAACAAAGCACACACACGAGGAAAGCATAGAAAATGACAGCATATATCAAAGCACAAAACATAATACAATGACAAACAAGCAAACACAGTAACATCACAAAACAAAACCTCCAGAAAAACAAACCATACATCAAGAGGCATAACAGGAAACATAACAGGACAAACACAATACAGTCCAAACAAAACAAAGGACAAACACGTACAACAGGTAAAGCAATACAAAAACACCAGGTCAAACGCACAGCACAAACAATACAGGAACAAAAACGCACACACACCAAACCACCCGCCCCATAAACAAAGGGCCAGGCCAAAATTAACAATAAAAAATTAACAATAAAAAACAAGCAAAACACGCACACCTGTAAACAAAACAGGCACAAACACAACAACACACATGCACTGCTGAAGGACTGAGAATAAAACAACAAAGTATATCATGAAACAAAACCAGACACTTCAGCACAAAACAAAACAATACAAGTTTATACAAAAGTTTTCAAAGACACTAAACACTGGCCTGAAGGGCCTACAACATAAACAACCATGAACAGAAACATAATGAAAAAAAGAAACAATACCGGAAATATAAGAAATACAACAAAGCACCGGCCTGAAGGGCGCACAATAGGTACAACACATTACAAAACAAACCACAGGTCCAAGCACACAGACTACTCAAATGTCTCATACTTATCCGGCCACTCCGCCGCCGGGAAACGAATACAATACGCCTCCCAAAGTAACATGATGTCCTCCGAAATAGGTTCAGTACGAACCGTACGAGGATCAGGCATGGACTCCAGCACACCCACAATAAAACACTGAGCCTGTCGAATCCAGATGGTAGAGGGGCACCACGGAACCGGACGCACGCGGTCATCAATGTCAAACCGCAAAGGATGCTGATCATCATGCGCCACTCCGGAGGCCAGGATGATAGGGAGAGGCTCCTTTCCACGAGGCCGGGCAATGGGCATCGCACTGGGAGCCTCCTCGGCTGTCTCACAGGGCCCCGCGTCAACCACCGAACGTTGTACCTGCTGGGACCCCCCACGCTTGGCATCCTTCTTCAGCACCAGCTTGAGGCCTCGGCTCGCACCAGAACCCACACCACCCCGTCTGTAGGAGCAACCACCTCCCACTGCGCAGAACCTTCTGCAGGAGAAAGAATAGGAGGTAAAGCAGACGCACATCCATCGTCAACAGCAGACACATGTACATCAGCCACCACCAGCGACGTAGAGCGCAAAGCACCCGGAATCGCCACATCATCTCCTGAAGCGCCACCTGCGTCGTAATCCTCCGCATCAGCCCAAGCACTAGAAGAACGCCTGGAACGCTTGGGCACTGGCCCCACATCCTCGCAGCCGGAGGCGGACCCAGAACCACGGGCCACATGAACCAGGCGAACCAACGCCCGACGCAGTACGGCAGCAGCCTCAACCACATGGGGAACCGGGTTGCACACAACAGGACGCTCCACAGCCCCCCTAACACCCAGCACAGCCGTAACACCTGGCGAGGGTGCAGGACCAGGCACAGCAGCAGGAGTCGAGGAAGACGCAGACGACCCACAGAGACCATCCAGAAGACCCTCGGGAGCAACTGGCACAGCGAAGTGACCAGCGACAGGAGCCACCGGAACACTCGGAGGAGGGACAACAACCACCGGGGGCACATCGGGTGACGCAGGGAAGGCCGCATCAGCAGCGAATGGGACCTGCCCCTCATCATCTCCGGAATCCACGCCCTGAGGGAGCGGCGGGAAATCCTCTTCCCGAAACAAGTTAACAGGTGCAGCAGGGGCCTCAGAGCACCCGGCAGCCTGATGCCCTAACTGGCCACACCGGAAACAAGTATTATGCCCGGGGCTGCCGGACATAATACACCCGAACGTAGTAACCTAGCAGCTGGACAGAAGATGGGATATCTGACCGCAGGCACATACCTAAGGTACGGACGTTCGTCTGCTTCCCAGCATACTTCCCCGAGGAAAGCTTGTTCACCCGCACACTGATGACAGCACCATACCTCCTGAAGAAGCGCCGGAGAAGGTCTTCAGGGAACTCCAGGGGCGCACCATGCACACTGACATATGTCAGGGCACCACTTCGGTCCGAGATCGTAACGGAGCCGGCGCCATCTGGCAACTGCAACGAACGCCCTTCGTTCCGCCGGAGGAAGCCCCGATACTCCTCCTCCCGCACGAACTTGACAATCACCCGGTGGGCCGTTAGAAGCTCAACTCCATATACAGCCTCCACCGGGACACGAAGCATGTCGCACATTACCAACTCAATGGCCGGATAACCAGCCTTGCACGAGAATTCTAGTCCCACGGAATTCACCCGCAAAACAGGAGGAATTGCAAGGCCCCCCATATCAAAACGGCCACGTCAGCACGCAGCCAGGCAGGCAACAACACTGCCCACGTCAGCACAGGCGGGCAGAGACACACCCGCCCCCAACCGGCCGAAACTGGCAAACAGCACCAACTCAGGAAACACGGAAGTTGACAAGGCTGCATTGCATGAGCATCGAGGAGCACTTAGTGTCCTATGAGAGCGACACATGTGTATATATCAGTGTAGTAATACTTCGTTTATGATTCTATTTAAGGTGATGAGAAAGTGGTAATGTAAATATATTGATAAAGGATGAAGTGTCGTATTCCTTTCAACTCCCCCCTTGTTTTTTTTTACTTGCATTACCAAGCTCACTCCTTGAAAGCCACTACCGACTTGGGGTCAGATACTAGTACTTTGGTTCCTCCAGCAAAGAACCCGGTTGCGACCCATAGTGGCCGTAACAAGTATAAACGTAAAATCCAAGAGATAACAACTGTCACTGGTAATTACTTAACTCCTAATGAACATATTCTCTGAAAATGGACTTCGTCTCACATTAACTTTACTCGTAAATGGGAACAGCATAACGTGTATATTTCTCACTAATAATTCCTTAAGACAGGCGAGGCAACATTTGATTGCGACCGGCCGTTGGGACATTGATCCACGGAATTAAAAGTTTGACAGGATAAATTACTTAAACTCCTAATGAAAATATTATCTGAAAAATAGGCTTATTAAAATTTTACCAATAATAGGACTGCCAAAAAGTCCAACTTGATACCACAAGAAACGAGGCTCAATTATCTTGTGGATTGAATAATAATTCAATTATCGGCTTCTATAAAGAGCCGGAAAGGAATTATCAAATCTACACTGAAAGCTAGATTTGTCATAATCTACAGATTTGTTAAATTAACTCTGTCAATGGCAGGGCTGGTGCAGCATAAACTATAATTAGGAATAATGCCTTTCGAAACAGAAATAAAGGAAAAGCACGTATTGAGAACTATGCCTCTTCAACACAAGCGGTGTTAACTGTCAATGTTATGGCATTAAGATACCTTGAACGAAACACTAACGGTGCAGTGATCTGCACTGATTCAAAAGCAGTGCTACAAATCCTTAGTAAAAATCGGGCAGAAAATCCTATGATAATCGCTGAAATCAAAAGAGCTGTGAGAGTACTAACCAATCAGGGAAGACTCGTCAAATTTCTGTGGATCCCCTCCCATGTTGGAATCTGTGGAAATGAACGAGCAGATGTGCTGGCTGTTGAAGCAGACAATATTGAATACTTCATACCCAAGATTCTTTGTCAAATTAGAGGTATCATTAGAAAAAAATCGCCGCGACAAGATTACTGAAGAAAGGAGGATAGAAAAACAAATCGGTGAATCTGTGTGCTGGAACACCATGCTTGCAGCTGGCAATCCCATTCATTATAGGCGAAGAGGAGATGACTGCGGGAGAGAATCAGTGATAGCGAGAATCCTTCTTGGATTCAAATATCCATGGAGAGTTGGAATGGAAACAACAGTTGAGCAGCGGAGTTGCAAAATCTGTAGTTAGTGACAGACACCGCCTTGACCATTATCTACGAGACTGAACATCTGAAAGAAATTAAAAATATGTGTATATTAATAAACCGCAAATTGTTTGAGTTAGGAAAATATTATTTGTCATATATAGATACTGTTATTAAAACATATCCTCATTTTGCTCTCGCAAGATAACTTAAGATTTTAAGGGTTCACGAATGTTAATCTTCTTGTTTGAGAAGCTGTTCACTTGAGACAGTTAAGCAGGTCCCAGCTGTGTCTGGGTATAAGTGATAGGATGAACAACCCAGTGGATTTTCTTCTTATTTGGGAGTGCTGTGTATTCTGCTTTGGCGGTGTGTCCACTCACAGGATGAGTCGCGCTGCCCAATAATCTGGCCCCTCGGGGGAAAATTAAAGAACTTTGCCAAAATTTTACCCAGAAACAGGTGATAGCTTAGCTGTAATTTTCAAGGTCAGACCTTGGGGACATTTTCAGTGTGACGTCTTAGCTTAAACTTTTTATGTTAGATCTATGGACCCTTTTCTGAGTGACGGCATAGCGAGAATTTTTTCCAAGACAAGTCCTCTACCCATCTTAAGGCGACCGTTTAGTGACGACTTTTCCAAAATCAAAAAGTCATCTCTAAACGGTCTATCCCTCTACTGTGAGCATGGTTGGTGATGAGCATGGTTGGTGGTGAACATGGTAGGTGGTGAACATGGTAGGTGGTGAACATGGTAGGTGCTGAACATGGTAGATGGTGAACATGGTAGGTGGTGAACATGGTAAGTGGTGAACATGGCAGGTGATGAGCATGGTTGGTGGTGAACATGGTAGGTGGTGAACATGGTAGGTGGTGAACATGGTAGGTGGTGAACATGGTTGGTGGTGAGCATGGTTGGTGATGAGCATGGTTGGTGGTGAACATGGTAGGTAGTGAACATGGTAGGTGGTGAGCATGGTAGGTGGTGAACATGGTTGGTGGTGAGCATGGTTGGTGATGAGCATGGTTGGTGGTGAACATGGTAGGTAGTGAACATGGTAGGTGATGAGCATGGTTGGTGGTGAACATGGTAGGTAGTGAACATGGTAGGTGGTGAGCATGGTAGGTGGTGAACATGGTAGGTGGTGAGCATGGTAGGTGGTGAACATGGTAGGTGGTGAGCATGGTAGGTGATGAGCATGGTTGGTGGTGAACATGGTAGGTGATGAGCATGGTAGGTGATGAGCATGGTAGGTGATGAGCATGGTAAGTGGTGAACATGGTAGGTGATGAGCATGGTAGGTGGTGAACATGGTAGGTGATGAGCATGGTTGGTGATGAGCATGGTAGGTGGTGAACATGGTAGGTGGTGAACATGGTAGGTGGTGAACATGGTTGGTGGTGAGCATGGTTGGTGATGAGCATGGTTGGTGGTGAACATGGTAGGTAGTGAACATGGTAGGTGGTGAGCATGGTAGGTGGTGAACATGGTAGGTGATGAGCATGGTAGGTGATGAGCATGGTAAGTGGTGAACATGGTAGGTGATGAGCATGGTTGGTGGTGAACATGGTAGGTGGTGAACATGGTAGGTGATGAGCATGGTTGGTGGTGAACATGGTAGGTGGTGAACATGGTAGGTGGTGAGCATGGTAGGTGGTGAACATGGTAGGTTGTGAACATGGTAGGAGGTGAACATGGTAGGTGGTGAACATGGTAGGTGGTGAGCATGGTAGGTGGTGAACATGGTAGGTGCTGAACATGGTAGGTGGTGAACATGGTAGGTGCTGAACATGGTAGGTGCTGAGCATGGTAGGTGCTGAACATGGTAGGTGGTGAACATGGTAGGTGGTGAACATGGTAGGTGGTGAACATGGTAGGTGGTGAACATGGTAGGTGCTGAACATGGTAGATGGTGAACATGGTAGGTGCTGAACATGGTAGGTGGTGAACATGGTAGATGCTGAACATGGTAGGTGCTGAACATGGTAGGTGCTGAACATGGTAGGTGAAAGGTGATAAGCATAAACAATGTGCTGGAGCTAGACATGACAAATGGGAGAAAGTGAGTGTGAGAACAGAGAGACGAGGAGCGTGACGCGAGGAGAAGAGGTTAGTGATCATGGCAGTTGATGAGTGTGGAGATGCCATAGGTCACACTCCAGCAGCAATATCTGGAAATATAGCACCTTCATTACTCCCGGGGCCGGCAGCCCGCACACCCACCAGAGTTATCTCAATGGTTTCTGGAAATTGGGCTGAAGGTTGTCAGGCTGTTATTAGGAACCTTCTATCATCAACGAGTGCCAGCGGCCTCACTCTCCTCCGGTGGCACCCATTACATGCCTCATTTCAGGCTCTAAGGGTCACTTTTCCCGTACATGTCAATCTGCAATGAGCTTTATCGTGCATTAGTTCCAACATTGCTTTCAGTTCCGAGGGTAAAGAGGGGATATGGATGACGATATATGGGAGTTGGTGACGGTCCGAACACAAGACGTCGGGTCTCAGGTCACAACACTAGACGTCGGGTCTCAGGTCACAACACTAGACGACGGGTCTCAGGTCACAACACTAGACGACGGGTCTCAGGTCACAACACTAGACGTCGGGTCTCAGGTCACAACACTAGACGTCGGGTCTGAGGTCACAACACTAGACGTCGGGTCTCAGGGCACAACACTAGACGTCGGGTCTCAGGTCACAACACTAGACGTCGGGTCTCAGGTCACAACACTAGACGTCGGGTCTCAGGTCACAACACTAGAGGACGGGTCTCAGGTCACAACACAAGACGTCGGGTCTCAGGTCACAACACTAGACGACGGGTCTCAGGTCACAACACAAGACGTCGGGTCTCAGGTCACAACACTAGACGACGGGTCTCAGGTCACAACACTAGACGACGGGTCTCAGGTCACAACACTAGACGTCGGGTCTCAGGTCACAACACTAGACGTCGGGTCTCAGGTCACAACACTAGACGTCGGGTCTCAGGTCACAACACTAGACGACGGGTCTCAGGTCACAACACTAGACGTCGGGTCTCAGGTCACAACACTAGACGTCGGGTCTCAGGTCACAACACTAGACGTCGGGTCTCAGGTCACAACACAAGACGTCGGGTCTCAGATCACAAGAAACACAAGACGTCGGGTCTCAGGTCACAACACAAGACGTCGGGTCTCAGGTCACAACACTAGACGTCGGGTCTCAGGTCACAACACTAGACGTCTGGTCTCAGGTCACAACACTAGACGTCTGGTCTCAGGTCACAACACTAGACGTCTGGTCTCAGGTCACAACACTAGACGTCGGGTCTCAGGTCACAACACTAGACGTCGGGTCTCAGGTCACAAGAAACACAAGACGTCGGGTCTCAGGTCACAACACTAGACGTCGGGTCTCAGGTCACAACACTAGACGTCTGGTCTCAGGTCACAACACTAGACGTCTGGTCTCAGGTCACAACACTAGACGTCGGGTCTCAGGTCACAACACTAGACGTCGGGTCTCAGGTCACAAGAAACACAAGACGTCGGGTCTCAGGTCACAACACTAGACGTCGGGTCTCAGGTCACAAGAAACACAAGACGTCGGGTCTCAGGTCACAACACTAGACGTCGGGTCTCAGGTCACAACACAAGACGTCGGGTCTCAGGTCACAACACTAGACGTCGGGTCTCAGGTCACAACACTAGACGTCGGGTCTCAGGTCACAAGAAACACAAGACGTCAGGTCTCAGGTCAGAACACAAGACGACGGGTCTCAGGTCACAACACTAGACGTCGGGTCCGAGGTCACAACACAAGACGTCTGGTCTCAGGTCACAACACTAGACGTCTGGTCTCAGGTCACAACACTAGACGTCGGGTCTCAGGTCACAACACTAGACGTCGGGTCTCAGGTCACAAGAAACACAAGACGTCGGGTCTCAGGTCACAACACTAGACGTCGGGTCTCAGGTCACAACACTAGACGTCTGGTCTCAGGTCACAACACTAGACGTCTGGTCTCAGGTCACAACACTAGACGTCGGGTCTCAGGTCACAACACTAGACGTCGGGTCTCAGGTCACAAGAAACACAAGACGTCAGGTCTCAGGTCAGAACACAAGACGTCGGGTCTCAGGTCACAACAAACACTAGACGTCGGGTCTCAGGTCAGAACACTAGACGTCGGGTCTCAGGTCACAACACTAGACGTCGGGTCTCAGGTCACAAGAAACACTAGACGTCGGGTCTCAGGTCAGAACACTAGACGTCGGGTCTCAGGTCACAACAAACACTAGACGTCGGATCTCAGGCCACAACACAAGACGTCGGGTCTCAGGCCACAACACAAGACGTCGGGTCTCAGGTCACAACACTAGACGTCGGGTCTCAGGTCAGAACACTAGACGTCGGGTCTCAGGTCACAACACTAGACGTCGGGTCTCAGGTCACAACACTAGACGTCGGGTCTCAGGTCACAACACTAGACGTCGGGTCTCAGGTCACAACACTAGACGTCGGGTCTCAGGTCACAACACTAGACGTCGGGTCTCAGGTCACAACATTAGACGACGGGTCTCAGGTCACGGTACCACCCTAATGACCTGCTATGCATCACCTGCCAGAAACTTCCCCAACAGAAAGTTTTTACATATTTGAAGACCATCATAGTTACACCGGGAGCGAAGGTCATATTTTATCTCTCGTGCTTCGGGCAATTTTCATATTTGCATTTATTTTACATAAATTTCGGATTTATCCTCTATATACACAGAGCGACAGCTCCAAAAAAGCAGTTCAATTCAAATTTTTAAATCTCTTTTTATAAACTTTTATTCCGAAGTGTAATCCCAATTTCCTTGTTGAACCTATTGCACATCCTAATATAATCTCTTTATCCACCCTTCACATAATCCCACCTCCCTCTCTTGTATTATCCCAACTTCTCTGCCTTTTTATGCACTATTGGTGCATAAAAACTTCATTGAAAACCTCTTTAAGCCCCATGTCTCTACCATGGTCTTCAGAACAGTGGCTTAACACAATCATTTCCCCTATCTCTGTCCTGGTACTCCAGTTAATTCTACTTTATTATTTCTTATCACATGTCTGAGGTTCAAGAGAGGGAAACAACCTCTCAACAACTATGTGTTTTTGACCAGGAGCAAGCCTTTGCGGGGGAGAGTGCGAGCCTGTGAGCAGCTCAGCCACTGATCGACGAGGCGAAAAAGGTCGTCAGTTTTGTAATAAGCTCCCCGGGAAGTTGGGTAAGCAGGTGGAGGAGAGGGAAGGAAGCAAGGGTGGGAGGATGAGAAGTAGGGATGAGGAAGAGTAGGGGGAGAAGGAAGATAGGAAGAGAAGGAACAGCAACAATAGGAATAGCTATAGTATCAGTAACAGGAAGAACATAGAAACGTGGACACGGAAGGGGTATTGTAGGAGAAGGAGAAGAAGGAAATCACTCTAATCTAGTGTCAGTAACGTGGTTCTCAATCCGTTCTTCCACCGTTGTATTTTCTTGATTCGTTTGTAGTATATATATTAGAAACAGATCTCAGTAAGAGGATTACTGCGCAACTATTCCCGTCACTGAAGTTGCCCAGCAGATGAAACGTCACCAGCTTCGTCTTGTGCTGGACAAGGTATAGGCTCCACGCTTGGGCCGCATAGCCAGACACACACACACACACACACACACACACACACACACCCGTACGTACGTGTGTGTGTGTGTGGCTATGCGGCCCAATCGTGGAGCCTATACCTTGTCCGGCACAAGACGATGCTGGAAATACTTCATAAGTATACCACAAGGCTAGTCGCAGAACTAAGAGGCATGAGTTATGAGGAAAGGCTGCGTGAACTGCACCTTACGTTGCTGGAAGACAGAAGAGTTCGGGGAGACATGATCACCACATACAGAATTATTAGGGGAATTGACAGGGTAGACAAGGATGGATCATTTAACATGGGAGGTACACGCACAAGGGGACACAGGTGGAAGCTGAGTAGTCAAAAGCCACAAAAACATTAGAAAGAACTTTTTCAGTGTCAGAGTAGTTAGTGAATAGAATGTACTAGGAAGTGATGTGGTGGAGGCTGACTCCTTTCACAGTTTCAAATATAGATAGGATAGAGCTCGAGAAGCTCAAAATCTGTATAACCACTCAGGCTGGACGGTAGAGCGACGGTCTCGCTTCATGCAGGTTGGCATTCAATCTCCGACCGTCCAAGTGGTTGAGCACCATTCCTTCCCCCCCGTCCCATCCCAAATCCTTATCCTGACCCTTTCCAAGTGCTATATAGTCGTAATGGCTTGGAGTTTTCCCCTGATAACTCTCCTCCTCCCTGTTCACCAGTAGATTGATGGTTGAGAGGCGGGACCAAAGAGCCAAAGCTCAGCCCCGCAAACATAACTAGGTGAGTACAACTAGATGAGTACACACACCCACACATACTCTTCAGAAGGGTGTAATACTCGGTAAGCTTGAGGATGTTATAAGATGGGGCACACCTCAAAAATTAGGTTAGCCTTATGCAGGCGATGAGTCACAATAACGTGGCTGAAGTATGTTGACCAGACCACACACTAGAAGTTGAAGGGACGACGACGTTTCGGTCCGTCCTGGACCATTCTCAAGTCGATTGTTAGCCTAGGTTAGCCTTGGTAGGGTGAGGCATCTGGCGAGAAGATAAAACGAAAAGGATGTCTTCCATCCTCTTTAGGTCCGAGACTTTCTTACCAAGGATATCCTCCATAGTATTAGGCATATATATATATATATATATATATATATATATATATATATATATATATATATATATATATATATATATATATATATATATATATATATATATATATATATATATATATATATATATATATATATATATATATATATATATATATATGTCGTACCTAGTAGCCAGAACGCACTTCTCAGCCTGCTATGTAAGGCCCAATTTGCCTAATAAGCCAAGTTTTCATGA